GCCCGCCCTTCTCCACACACACACCCTTGGTCCGGAGGAGCTCCAGCAAATGCTGACCGCTGGCCACCCCCACGTTCCAAGAAGCAGATAATCATAGGAAGGCCCCTGTAGCCCGGCCAGAGCGGGGCAGTCTATGCAGCCCACCACTGCGATTCTGAAGATTGCATGTACTCCACCGCATACAAGCACTCCGCTTATCCGTATTGTCGCCGCCAGCTAAATACACCCCAGAGTGCGCACCACGACACGCCATGCTGGACCTGTACCTCGTCACCTTCAATGCGGCGCGCAATCTCGTCGACCCGCAGGCCCTGGCGCCCTCCTTCTTTGACGCGCTCCCCAAGGGAACGCCCGTGCCGGACATTGTCGCCATTTCGCTGCAGGAAATTGCACCCATTGCCTATTCATTTCTCGGTGGATCCTATTTGAAGCCCTACTTCGACCGCGTGACCACGACTGTCCAGCTTGCTGCTGACCTCCACAGCCAGGGCAGCGGCTCCCTCGAGCATGTGGCCACGCGTAGCCTGGGCATGACAGCCCTGATGCTATTTGCAAATCCAGCTATCCTCGAGAGGATACAATGGATACAGTCTGCAGGTGCGGGCGTCGGCTTCTCCAACATGGGCAACAAGGGGGCTGTTGCGATGCGCATCGGCCTGGCCTGTCCCGGCGCCGACGACACCCTTGATCTCACCTTTGCTGCAGCCCATCTTGCGCCCATGGAAAGGAACGTGGAAGCGCGCAACAAGGACTGGGAGAATCTGGTGCGCAACTTGGTCTTTGTCAATGGCGACGAGACCGCCTACAGCTCGAGCGAACAAAGACCCCTTCTAGCCGCCTCTTCAGATGCTCCAGCTGATCACAACGGTCTTTTTACGCCTGGAAACCACGTCTTCTTTTACGGCGACCTAAACTATCGCACTAGTGACAGTCCACCAGACGGTGACGCTCCCAAGTCCTACCCTCAGCCTACCGAGTCAGAGTCATCATCCCGACACTTTTCACATTTGCTAAAACAGGACCAATTGATTCGAGAGAAAGACGCCAAGCGCACACTGCATGGCTTTGAAGAGCTCCCCATTACCTTCCCGCCTACATACAAGTACTCCACTTCCAAACACTCTCTAGCCGGTGAGGTTGAATCGTGGCACTGGTCAAAGCACCGATATCCCTCGTGGTGTGACCGAATTCTCTTTCTACGCGCCGGGTCTGCGTCAGACCTAGAACCCCAGATCTACACCGCTCTCCCCATCCAGCCCACGTCAGACCACCGTCCTGTTGCTCTCTCCCTGCGCATCGACGAAAAGCCTATCAAAATGGGCATCAACGAGGTCTTTTCCCGTGCGCCCTTTGAAATCAACCCCCAGTGGAAGGCCAGACGGGATGCCGCACGACGCTGGGAAGTCATTGTGGGCGTCATATCCTACCTCGCCTTGACTGGTAAGGGCCAGATCATTCTCATCACCTTGCTGGGTGTGGTAGCTGGCGGTCTGTTTTTGGCTGGGGCTTTGGCTAGATGAGGCTGCTCTTGACTTGTTGCCACTCAACAGCATTGTTCCTCCAGCTCCACTGCTCAGCGAGATATTTTACCGTTGCCGCTGTTGGCATGCCCATGGTGTTCACCTCATTTAGAAATTCTATCATCTTGAAATGTGCCATCTCATCGCTCAACAGCACTGCAAACTTGTGCACAGCATGCGCTGCTTTCCATGGTGCCGATACGCAGTGGGTATTGCATCGAGCAATAGCCACCATTTCCTTCAGTCCCCTAAGTATTTCGTCTTGTATGGATGCAACAACGCCGTCTCCATGGGGGTACGCAAATTCGGTGTCGAGGTAACTAGCTGCTAGTGCAATGCGACATATCCGCAAGTGTTGGTTTGCATCAGCTTAAGCAATGTCAGTTATGAAGGTAGCGGGCTGGTTACTATACAAACTCACCATGGCAAGGACCGGAGAACCATAGTTCTGGAAAATACCCCGTAGCGTACGAGTCCTCTTTATAAAAGAGCGCATCGAAAGTTGCTGGCCGCATCAATTCCCATTCATCAACAAGATTGCTCAAGTACTGCCGCTCGTCTGCTGTGCGATTATCTGTCGCCATCCACTGCAGGATACGCGCATTCAACCATACTATTCTGTTACCCCACGAAGCTTCATCTTCTGGTAGGGCCAATGCAAGTAGAATGGAGTTTCCATAATCGATGCGCAAACTCGGGCGATTGAGAAGCGCTTGACACACTTCGGAATTAACGTGAATCATGAGACAAGCCTGCACGACCGGACTAGACATATCGAGCAACCAGCCCTCGGGGCCGTAGAAAAGCTCATATGTAGAGAGGTGGGTTTGACCCTGCGTACCCGCTGATTGTTCGTCAGCCAAACAGTTCACTTTCTTTGCTTTATCACTACACACCGTGGTACTCTTCAAATGTTCTGAGAAGCATCGCCGTTACCAGCGTTGCCTCGTCCTCAATCCTGCCTTTCTCCGCTAGGTACGGAATGAGGTCCTGTAGGATCCTATCATGATACACATAAGGCCCGGCGGGAAAATGCGGGTCATGGCGCAAGACATGTTGGGCAGATGTCATGAGAATTGCATTCATAAGCATTGCATTCTCAAAAGCAAGTCTTGGAACTACTTTTTTGAACACGGCTACTGGACTTGTAATGTCGAGTGATACTGCGGCCTTTTCGATCCAGAAGCGAAACAGATATGCCTCAATTGGATCAGAGAGGGGCCAAGCTACGTCGGCAACTGAATTTGCTGCAGGGTGTGGACGTGGCGAAGGGCCGTCAGACTGTGAGTCTGCAGGCGATGGCTCATCGAGACTGGAATAGTTGGAGCCCGAGCCTGGAGCCGGGCTCGTATGACGCCGGACATGCCATGGAGGAAGAACATGCCTCTGGCTGTCCGCAGATGCTTGCGCTTGATTATCCCAAGTCCCACTTCGCAGAGGCAGATGTCGCTCTCTCGTCCGGGGACTTGTCGTTGCAAAGCCTGACAATCTCCCTGATGTCCGTGAGCGATTTACATGTTTCGATGTCCTTCTCTCGCCTGCAGATCCTGGATTTTCGCATTCTTCAGCTACAAGTCTGGACTCGTCGATAAAATCCACTGTGATGCTGTGTCAGTGCTTGCATAATGCTTATCAGTCGCTCAGAAGCGACTCAACCGGTGGCTTGAACATACATTTACCCTCGGTACCAACCCATCTCTGCCCGGCAGCGAAAAAATAATCGTACTTTTTGATATCTGCTCGAGTTGCTTGACCTTCTGCATCCGGAAACACGCCATGTCGAAAGCGGACCCTGTAATTGGTCTTCTTCGGCTGGGCGCCTGGTGACAAAGACACACTCATCCTGCGTTGCAGTATAAGAAAACAATGCGAACAGCCGTACTTCCAAAACAAGGCAAATCAAGACGATTTGGAAAGAGGACCAGCAATCTTGCCAAGAAGTCAAAACCAAGACAAGCAAAAGGTGCTGACGGTGCTCAATGTTTTCAACCAGCAACCAGGCAAGAGTTCGCCGCCTCAGCTGGTATTATGTACTGTGTCTGTCTGTCGCAAGCTACGCCACATCGGTAACCATGATGCACGGTGAATGGAAGAAACGGCACATGCGTATGCGACAAGAAATGCACCGCACATACACTTTCTTCTCGCTTCTCATATCAGAGGGATTTGATCATCTCCCCTTTCCCCTTTGGGCCTAAGGGCGCGGATTGCTCTTCTCATCTGCAACCTTGGTCGCGATGATTCAGCACAATGGCGGTGCAGATTGGACAACGGCCCGATGTGTGTGCCCCCATTTTGTAGCGCGGACCGTTCCCGTCAGAGTGGAAGGCTTGTCGATGCTTGTGTCCGGCTCTGAGCGCTATCTGGTCAACAAGATGGGCATCCCATATGCTGCTCTCGAGTCCGCCTCTTCGACGAGCTTATATGGAGCCTAGGATGCGAGTTTTACTGTTGTCTTTGAGACTCTATTACCAATCTAGCACACGATTCACCGATCTACCTCTGGGCAGCCAATACAGCCTATGTTGCTGCCTACCTTTTGCACCAATTGCCTGTATGCCCCAAGGACAGGAAGAGGCAACGCGACGTCATACAACAACGGATAGGGCTGATGTACCCCACGTCCGTCTTTCTCTCTTCTAGAAAAGCGCCACACGCGCCCTGCGCGCCTTCGACCAAAATCTGACATGTGTGAATAAGCAAGAGTGATTAAAAATGCGGATTCGACCACCAAAAGAAGCCCTTATCACGCGGACATACCCATTGCTGGGCGACGGGACAGGTTGATCCAGCCTTGTTGCATTATTAATCCGATACCATAGAGTTGCGTCTCTTGTTATCTTTGAGCTCCAGTTCCGCGGTACGTACATAGGCATCTACAGACGTGCACGGATTGGCTGTCTGCATCCCATATCGCCACGTGATGTAGTAAATCAGCCTTGCTGACACCCCGACCGCGAAGCAACCACCAGTATCAATGACCACATTAGGACACCGCTTCCCTTATTCCCGCTGACAGTAGCGCAAATCGCATTTTTAGAGCCTCAAGGTCCCCTGTTCCCCAGTCCCGTCAGCACAGCGAAAAAAAGGTACCTGTTTGTCAGCTCTAAATACAGCTCTCCCCCGCGGAAATACCCCGCAAACCACTAATCGCACGAAAAAGATAGTACATGGCATTTAGGAAAATGGTTCTGCGCTATCTTTAGCAGAGGGTAAGGGAGGTGGTGACTAAGTCTGTTACCTCCCCTGGCATACATATGAAGTGTGCACCCTATGCTATCCGAATATCGGTCGGCACAGTCTCAAGCCATGGCAAACCGCACACCGCGGCTTTCGCGCTTTCCCCCCCTCCCCCAGCCGCGCAAACGCACATTTCTTTCTGAAGCGAGGGCAGTAGAAGGAACCATGTGCGACGCCTCTCTCTCGAAGACGTGATGGCGGGAGGGGAGTGTGGCACCCAAGAGAGGGCAAGCGGCTTGCTTAGAAAGCGTTGGTGGGCCGAGAGATACCCGAAGGCTGCGATATGCGCGAGCGTGTGTGTGCGGCTTGGGGTGATTGGGATTGGTTGAAGGTAGATTTGACGTGTAAGACTATTGTAATAGCAGATAGGTATACAGAGGGTATGTTTTCGTGATTAGTTATTGTATGATTACTTACTGTAGGGTTGAGAGGGGGTATCATTGGTGAGAGGGATTCGGAAAAGAAGAGGTAGGATTACATATTTGATTTTGGAGAAAGGTAAGCAATGTGCGTGTTATCGGTATGCTACTTTTTGTGAGATCTGGGGGTTGGTTAATTACAAGAAAATATATTTCTTGTCCGAGGAAGCTGATGTTTCTTGTCGTACATAGTGAGCAAGGGTCTATACTCTACTTCTGCCAAGGAATATCTCACTGTCAGTCACAGCAGTACTTTTCTTATGCGCAACTATCTTACACATCATGAAAGCTGCAAATACTCAAAGGCATATTGTATGTACGCATAAATGCATAACTATGCAGCCCTTCCCAACTCACCTAGTCCTCAAACCCCAGCCCCACTATTTCCTTCACCTCGGCCCATCAACCCGTTCGTCCCACATGTATACGTAGTCTCAAGAACTATTCTTAAGCCATTACATCGTCCATCCCCACAATGCATAAATCCCCCTCTTTTAAACTCTCTCCATCTCCACCACAAGAAAGAGTCTAGATTCATTTCCAGTCCTCGGGATGACGTCACCACCACACTCGACGATCCCCTTAGCGCATTCCCTAACACCAACCCCCTAACTAGTATGTATGTAGTCTCAGGAAAAGGACAAGCCGGAAAATGGCACAAACACCAAGCCAACCAAGTCAACTGCGAGTCAGTTGTATTAAAATATACTAGCTTTCATAACTATCGATATCAATAGATCATAGAGGCTCTTCACGCTAATGCATCTTAGAAGGCTAGAGTCAAAGAATACATTATACTCAAAACAAATAGAACGTATTTCACGAATTGCCAGACTACTCAGCAGCATTCGCCGATTAAGCCTAGTAGACACCAGTCATGACCTCCTTGGCTTTTTCGTCACTCCAATCTGGCTGCACCCGGTAGTGGATGTTTTCAATTGAACACTCCGCCACCAAACCATTCTTACTTGAATCAGTCAAGAATCCATCTACAGCGCGCACAATGGTTGAGTGAGGCGTCAAGATCTTGGCTATGGCGTCCGTCATCGGACTGCTAGATATATTGGTAGCAACTATGCCTAGCGCCTTTTGTTAAAACCATACCTCATTGGATTAAGAAAATGTTTTGCGTCGAACATACCTGGGCATATACAGTTGACAGTAATAGGTTCCTTAAGCGCTTCGAGCCTCTGAGCTAGGCATCTAGTTATGCCGACAACCTAGAAGGAAGATTTGTCAGTGCCCTTGGGAGCGAAATACTACTCGTGTGTTGGTCCCGCGGAGACCTACCCCATGTTTCGCAGATGTATATACAGGAAGACCGTGTGAGGGATAGAGGCCTGCCATACTCGCCGTCGAAACCAGCTTGCCAGCTTTATCGGGATTCTTGCGGAAGTAGTGCAGCGCAAGATATGCCGAGTAGACTACAGCAGTCAGACAGATGTCAAGGACAGAGGTATCCGGCTTCACGGGCGCGCCATCTTCGCGTTCCTCAGCCGGCTCGTAGAAGTTGGTCCTGTCGATAATGCCCTTGGGTTTCCCATCAGCAAAAATGAGAAAAAAAAACGAAGTGAATCACAACAGAGAAAGACATAAAAAGCAGTGCTCACCGCATTGGCAAACACAAAGTCGAGCCGCGACCATTGTTTCCACGTCGCGACGAAGGCTTTGGCCTGCTGGTCGTAATCCGAAACATCCGCATTCGTAAAGAACACCTTATCTCCAAGCTCCCGTGCTACTTTCTGCCCGCTCTCTTCGTTGTAGTCGACTATCATTACGTTCCAGCCTTGCTCGACCAGGTGCTTTACAACAGACAATCCCATGCCCGAGGCACCGCCCGTGACGAGCGCCACTTGGGCAGATGATACCTGTCTAGTCGAAGTCATTGCTTCACTAATGAGTGGGGGGTGGGTCTTATGAAGGGGAAGAAGCAAGCGAGATGAGCCTCTTGTGAAGGTGAAGGAGGATGAGAAGAAGCAAACAACGAGCTTCTTTGCTAAAAAAAAAAATCACACGGATATGTATACAAATCGTACGCCGTCATTATCGCTTATATTTACTCACACTCAACCCTAAATTTTTTTTAACCTCTCGGGCCTTTTTTTCCTTTTCCCTGCACCACTATACTATGTTAGCTTGGTGTCCACTTTTACTAGTCAGTCTTCCTTTTCTACATACTTTTACTACAACGTAGAGTAAGTAAAATACTACTTCAAGGGTATGATCCGAGTCCTATGTAAAGCCCCTATCTCTCTTCTACCACCCTTACCTATCTCCTACCTCCATATTTCCCAAACAACAATATCCTTTTTTCCAAAGCAAAACACTTGCTCTATTTTCTTTCCTTTCTAATCGAAGGTAAAAAAAAAATATCACTTGAACATGAAATGTCGCTTGGCTAATAGTCCTTACATCCCCTTCCTCTATGGACGAAAGAAAAAAAATGCAAGTCAGAAAATCGTGACCAAGAAACAAAAAAAAACAGACCAGGTGACGTTTGGGTAACGGTAACTAGTGTAGATGGAAAGGCGGGGACGGAAAGCGGCGGGAGAATCGGGAAACGGTTACTAAGGAAGTTCCCCTTCCTCCCTCCCTCCCTCCTCAAGATTGATGAAAAATGAATTTTTGTATGTATGAATTGTATGAACAGGTGGACGAAAACGTCGCTAGCTGGGTACATTTGATTTTCCGAGAATATAACAAAAGTACACATGTTTTACCGGGTTGTGGGGTTGGTCGCCGCTGGAGAGAGAGAGGGGGGGACTAGAGAGTTCATTTGCCAAACGAAAGCGTGTGGGTGAGGAACTTTGTGTAGTAACACGGTAGTCGGGGGAACGGGGCGGGGGAACGAGGCGGGGGAACGAGGAGTGCGTGATGTGGGGAGTTTTCTTTGTCACGATGAACTACACGTATACACTATGAAACGCAGCGGGAAGCTGCGAAGTTGCATGGTGGCTTTGAAGGGGGGGTGGTTGTACTACAGGCTGTACGCGGCGCATGTGCGTCCTACATGCTTGCCTTGGGCGTTGGGCTCTTTTAGTCGCTCATCACGAGGAGGGGAGATGCATGTGTTGTACACATGTAATGTAACGCGTTGGGCCAACCAAGGGGGGGCACGCACCCGTGTAGTATTGGGTTGTTCGGTGTTTCTTCCCATGGTAAATCTGTACGCCGGCGTGCATGTTGACATGGCAACTTTGTTTGCGCTGCCGATCGGATTTACTGTAAGGCGGATCTGCAATGCGCGGTAGGGAGAGAGACAGGATGTATGGGCAGGTGTGCATAAGCTTTGGGCAGGGAGAGTGAAGAAGCACGTACTAGCACTACACATGCACTGCCGGACAGGGACAACCGTGACTATTGTTGCCAAGGCAGCTTTGCGACAAAGTAGAGCGTTGGTATGACTAAAGATTTGCGGCATCAGTTGCCGTGGCTTGTTTATGCCCCCTTCAACATGCCGCCATTCTTTTTGCAACACCAAGATTCAGGCCTTTGTCGCCTGGCCAAGGGCGCTTGTGCGCATGGTTATGGCGTCGGCTCATCCCAAAGCGGACCAGACGACTTGCGGTGCCGAAGCGGCGACACCTTCGGAAACCCCCCAGAGAATACCGACAACACGACCTCTAGTCTAGTACTACTTTCTTTCGTCATCAGCCTCGTAAAACCTTCTATGTCTTTTGACTGCTGTGTACATACGAAATAACGCAAATCACCACGAAACAAACTCCAAGCCAGACTTGACTATCTCTGTGCACTACGTATTTACTGCTTGCCTTCGCACAGAGCACGCAACTTGGGCTACTACTTTACGCAAGAAAGACCAGCCACAGACGTCACCCTGCAGCGGGCGACCAACTGTTGCGCTGCACCGCGCCCAACCTACTCCGTTCAAGAAAACCCACCTTGCATGCAACACGTTCTAGCCCCCTGTGATTGCGCCCTCCCTGTGACCTACTCCGCGGCCACCCACGTTGGGGGGAGGAGACGCGATCGCCAGCCAAAACTGCGATCGCGGCGCTTGTCTAGACCACATGCTTCCCCCCAGCCAGGCCCTCTGATGTTGCATCTTATTGTCGATCTACTTGTCTGGACTTCTGTCTCTTGTCTGTTTTTTTTCTTGTTGGCTGGCTGGCCCTGCTCTTTCATGCTTTCCCCTATGTGGAGTCTCTTACGCTCTGGGTTCCTGAGGGGAACAAAGCCGACGCGGAACCGCAGTTCTCTTTTTTTTCGCCTCCCTCTATCTAACGTTGGTTCCCGGCAGTGGGAGGGAGGGGACGGCACGCTAGTTTAGGGAATTAGTGTCAAAGTGATGGGCGCTGCGGAACTACTTTTGGATACGGATGCTACGTAGGCCGTTCGGCGTCGCTTTTGGGTTTTGCTCGTAAAAACGTGTCATGCCGTGATTATACCGTTTTGTTTTCCGCAAAGGCGAAAGAAAAAGGGACGGTGGTCGCTCGGGGATTTAAAAAAAGGGAGAAAGGAGTGATAAAGGGAAAAAAGGAGAGTGAGGCGAGCGGTTCGGGGACCTCGTGTTCTAGGCGAGGCTGTGGGGACGGAATCCTGGCCTCTATCCTTTTTTTTCTTTCTTTGCATACCTGGTCTTACGTATGGCTTCGCTTTTTGCTCGCTTCTTTGCTACCCCCGCAAAAAAATGAGCACGCAAGGGAAAAATAAACGAGGTTTAATATTGGGGTGAGAGGGTCTTTGCTGCAAGTCATGCGTCACGCATAGCGGGAATAAAGTGCAGAAAAAACTTGGTCAGGTGAGGTGGGTTCAAAAACGTTGGAGTGCATTTGGTGTGATTGTGTTTCACTGCAAGTGCAATAGAGAAAGAGACAGCTCGCGCTTCAATTTCCAAACCGACCCAATCATGGGTATATGCCAAGTTTTCCTCCAAGAGTAGCCTGTGCCGGGGGGCGGATGGGTGCATGGCCCCAATCGACGCCACATCATGCACACCCTGTCTGCCCAAAACGCCTGCAACCGAGTCTTCCCGACGAGAAGAAAGAACAAGAAAAACAAAACATGTGAATAGAAAGTGTAGCGGTGTATGAATACAAAGTTTATAGAGAGAAAAGAAAGAGAGAAGAAAACGTCCAGAAAATCTCGCATGCCCGTGTAAATGCTAACCAAGTGCGCTGTCCCGCGCCGGTAATCCCCTAGGAGAGGCCAAAGCCAAAAGTCGGCCCAAAAGGTAGGAGAAGGAAGTGTTGCCAGAACACCTGTCGTCAAAGTCGCTAATGTCTGAATAAAACTCGTATTGTCGTGAAAGGATGATGGAGTTGCATGTTGCTTCGCAAACGGACTATTGTGTCCTTGTTGATGTCGACGAGTTGTTGAGTTGAGATAGAGACGCGAACGAGTTTGTCATTGCCGAGTAGGCGGCTGATGGCAGTGCGTTGGTTGAAGATGTGGACGAGGCACTGTTGCTTCGGACTTGAAGATTGAGAGTGTGGCAGCTGTCGCATCGATCGTTGAGGCGGTTGCAACGGCCTCGGCAGCCTCGCTCGTAGTTGGCGCAGGAGAACATTGTGACTTGAGAGGGTTGAGGTGTTGTCGAGGTGTTGTGATGGATAGTGGTAGCAGTGGTGATGATGACGATGTGATGTTGTAGTAGCGTGAAGTGGCTGCGTTTATGTATTGCTCGGAGTTAATAGCGTGTTGTTGGCCTTTTGGGAATCCTTCAAGCCGAGGGCGAGACTTCGTAATATATGGGGCAGACGATAGCGAACGCCCGATGATGTAGACAGGCAGTTGCAGATATGCAGGGTAATTATTGCGTACTTGGGCCGAAAGAGTAGCCGTAATCGATGGTGTCAGTTGGCGTCGCTTGGGTGCATGCAGAACGGGCCCAATATAGTGCCTTAGTTGCCGGATCTAGCCAGGGAGGAAATGGATAGTCGGGCTGACAAAGTCAAGAGATGGGATGGATGATTTGTGGACAAGGTGTGTGTGTGTGTGTGTGTGTGTGTGTGTGTGTGTGTGTGTGGACGGGCGGCTTATATCTTGAGCTTGCAGATTAGGAGGAACCTGCGGGTCTGGAAGCTAGTAGTGCTATCTCTTATATCCAAACTTGACGTATATGAAGGCAAAACCTTCCGTAACGCTGGAGGCTGCAAGAGGCTCATGACAGTTGACGCGTCCAAGGGAAGAGTGTGTCATCGTAGATTATACAGTGGAGAGACCCGCGGCCAGACTGCACTTGGCCAGTGCGTTCTCACTCGCCAGCCCAGGGTCTCGGCGGAGACCCTGGCCTCGTTGCCCATCGACCCAACCAAGCGCCCAAATCTTGATTTCTGCCAAAGCCGTGACTTCCGGCAATCATCATCGTGTGGCTTGCACCAAGCCATTCTTTCACCGGACATGGACGGTGTACAAACCTACATACGTACCCAACACCCGCCCCGCCGCGAATACTGACGTTTCCCGCCATTTGGTGACTCTGACATTGTGCTGGCAACCCGGAGGGTACGTGCCATACCTAGCGACTGTTTCAAGCGACGATGTGCTACAGGGACCGGGCTGGTAAGCCATGTTTCGCTCAATTTCTCTCAGGCGGCCTTACGGGGCTGAGGGCTTACTCTGTACTTACTTGCTCACCGCGCAGAAACGTGCATCTGCATTCGTCCTCACCTTCGTCCAGACGTGCCAGAAGCCTCTAGAGTAGACCTAAGCCCTTTGCGATTACGCAGTGCCGCAGTCTGGGCGTCTCACCCTTCACATGTCCCTCGTCCGCCGTGACCTCTCCTGACCCTATTTACCCGGCCTGCAGCTCGCAAAGTCAACCATGGCCATCAAAAGGCACCAAATTTCGGACTTTGATAACGATTCCATGTCCGATCTCTGCCGCGTGGGTGCGGATGCGGACTACGGACCCTCCTACCGCTCTTCGCCACCTCAGCACCTCCCGTTCGCGGCTCGAGGCATTAATATGAGGATCAGCGTTCCCACCTATAGAACCAGACTTTCGCCTTGTGGCCTTAGCTATGTCCGACACACATCCTCCGCACAATCTGGCCAGATTCTGTGGAGCGTGCAATCTTTCTGCTGCCGTGGAAATTTGGTCCACGCTAATACCTGCTTCGCCTGCGTCCGTAGCCACGCAACCACTACCATATTCTTGCTTGTTGGCCAGCCAGCCCCATTATTTCCGCGCGGCCATATGCACCTTTTGTTCCTTTTCCCATGGGAAAGTCGCCTTGGGGTCGGCGTGAGCGACCCGATAAGCTGGGCGAGACTAGTGCTGGCAATCAACGGTTTGATATCCTGTCACGTGAGCAGGCGGACCAGATTGTATCCACGCCACACCCTCGCCACATGTTTCTAGTGGCCTCTGGTTTCATCCTAAAAATACCGATTGCGATAAAGCCGGTGAAAGTGTTCCATACATCATGCGTGTTGTTTGACCTTGTCCTCTGAGCTTTGTGACTAGCCTTGACCACTAAGATTCACCAGTAAGAGTGTAATTCTCTTTGACTTTGATACGTACGACATCTCGTACGACATCCCCTATCGGCCCTTGGGGGTAAAAGCCGAATTTGCACATGCTTAGAAATTGATCGAGAAGCTTGTGAGTTCTCGTTATGTTGACTACCGTCGTCTACTATGTTAGGACTGTTTCGAGCTCCTCGGGATTATGAGAAAACCAGTTAAAAAAGATGATGTTACCATTGCAACGGTGCAACTACCGACAATCAACACGACACAACTTGACAATATTGTTTGCTTACTTCTCTCACGCATAACCCGGCAAACGCGTAGAGTTTTGCGTACCTGCTTACAACCTGCATTTTTATGATGATTGACTTACAACTAGTGCGATGCTTAGAGTGCATAGATCCACTTGAACATGTTCGAATCCCATGAACTCGCACGCACGTATGAATGATCACATATGTAAGTTTGGCTGTAGGGTTAAACCCAGCGATTGAACTACAGGTTGCGTTCAGGGTGAGATTAGGTTCCGTCAAGAAGGTAAGAGCACATGGCGGCATTGCGTAAATCTATCGATTGCTCCGTAACAAAATTCAAGGCGTCAATCCGAGAGTATTCTACTATCAGCCTATGGAGGCGTTGGGGTGGCCATCACCGGTGTCTGCCAGTAGGCATGTGCTTCCATAGCAGGGGTGGCTGTCGAAGTATTGTCGTCAAGGCATCTGCCAAACCATCCTTTAGTAGTGCACGTCGTCGTGGTTGGCTCACTGGATGTAGTCGTAATAGTAGCAGTGGCCGTAGTGGTGGTTGTTGTTGTTACGTCTTTGCAACCAAACCAGCCAGGCTGTACAAGTCAGCAATGTTTGCAAGATTAATCGACTAGGAAAACATACTGTCTGACAAGTGCTTGTGCTCGTTGTAGCAGTCGATGAGCTAGACAATGTTGTCGACATCATGGTAGTTGTCGCATCCCGGCATCCCCACCATCCAGGCGTCTGGCATGTTTCTGTCCGGGTCCTTGAGTAGGTGGTACTTGTTGCTGTTGTTGCGCTCGTTGTCGGCTGCTTATGTGTGCCGTTTTCGAACTTCCACAAGTAACAATCAACACACCCTACATCCTCTTCTTGACATATTGCCGCTTCGTCGTATTTCATATAAACGTTCTCGATGGCGTACCTCAAGCTGTGCGTCTGGGTGCTTTGTCTCCAGCCCCAATCTTTAACCACGTCGTATGCACACTTCCTTCCGGCATGGCAAAGTGTTTCGAATGCATAGCCGCCGATTGAACAAAAGCTTGTAGCTCCATTACAAGTTCCCATATACACCGGGTCAGCTGTGTGTCCAAAATGAAAGACTCCCGTGTCTTTGCTGGGTGGAACAACGTCGCTAGCTGCCGGTAGTCCTAAGCGCTTCGCTGCCAGAGCCTGGGGATAAGCCTCAAATGTCACAGCAGGAATGCCATGTTGGAGACTGATCAAAGACGCAAGTACTCCACCTAAGCTATGTCCGGTTGTCATTACGTGGGAATTCGGGTAGAGCTTCATCACTTCTTGATAGAGCTCGAGAGTTGCGACATAGTACCGGTTTGGCTTCCGCAACTCGTCCTTTACACATTGTTCATCACAGGTATAAGTACCCGTTTGACAGTCACACACTTTGCGCCACAGGTAGGTACCACCCTGACCGCAGCAACAGGATCCGTAAAGATTGTCGTTTTCCTTGTCGTGCACAGAGGTTCCGTTGCCTTCGAACATGGCTACCGTAGTTCCTTTAACGGCAAGGATGATGGTGGAGTTGGTGTCATCGCTGAATACATGGCCGCGGATGCCGCTATCATCCCAACCAAAAGGAATGGAAGTGTCATAGTCTTCATCCACATCCATCCACCCGGGATCATCGCGTCCAACCTTGTACGCATCCTCCGACATATTTGCAAAACTGATGATGGTTTCCTTATCTTTAATATCCGGACCCGGAATGTCTTCGGCCATCCAAATGGGAGACATGGGTATTTGGCTATCATAGCTGTTGAACGATGGCCTTTGGATCTTTACTGGTGCCGTCTTGATGGCGAAGGGTCCGACATGGGAATCGACACCGGCAGCTGCAAAGTGCTCCGGTGTGACATCAAACCTTCTCGCACGCGGCCCAGGTTGGCCGACACCGTGATTTATGACATGTCGCAATCTGAAGCTGTTTGGCCTCGGTGATGAATTGGTAGTTGCCGCGTCCGCTAAAGCCGTGGACCCACGGGAGTGGCCAAAGTTGGTATAGGCCCAAAAGATACCCGCTATCAGAGCGAACTGCACAAGGATACCAACGGCAAGGAGAGAACGCGAGGGCCTGCCTCGAGTATTATGAGATGAAGTGTGAAATGACATGATATGGGAGCACTACAGGAGAGATGAAGGGGCGAGTGCTGAGGTGTTATGATAAGCGCGTCGACGACGGCCAAGTCGCCGCCTTCCGCACGGTCGTGGCTCGTGATCGAGACGCTACGACAAAACAGGTTAGTCGGCTTTCCACGTCATCTGCTTTCACCCACGCGCACCGCTCATCTGCTGCCTGGAGATTCTGTCATCTCATGTATGATCAAGCTCAACGCTTGCGGACGGTAAAATAGCATTCCGCCGTCAAGAGTTGCAGTGTTGCACTGGCGTGGCGGTCTGGGCGTCCCGAAAGCGTAAGAAATAGATGCAAGCTAATGCATCGTGTCCGTCTCCAGCCTAAAAAATAAGCTAAGAATGTTCGACCGTTATCCAGTTGTGCTTTTGATTGATCAAACATGTTGGGGGTTTAGTTATGAAAGACAAGTCCAGACCGTGAAATGATGAGGTCCAGTCTGTGTTAGCAAAGCACTCGTGAAGATCGGAAAGCAGTGTTTGCAGGAGAGCAAGAACACCTAACTATTTTGCTGATGCTGTTAAGCTATGTTGCGAAGTTCTGTAGGGAAAAAGCAAGGATAGTGGAGTTACAATATTTCGAGGTTTCATAGGAATTTCTATATTGGTGGTTCAGATACTTCAGGCTATATCACCCTCCGTTTTGCGCGCTCTTTTCGATGCAGGTACTATCTCTCTTCTCAAAGTAAATACAGGTTCCTCTTGTCATTCATCTTCGACCAGATGACCAGATTGAGAGATTCCACGCTGAAACATATATGGGTTTATTTGAATCCCCGACTGTTGTTGTAGGTCCTCTAGTCAATCGCTCAGCCCGACTGATGAAATGTACAGGACATATCGAGCGATACGGGAAGGTGTTTTTGGTATCGAGGAACCTGTAGAGCCGCCTTGAAAAGCATGATATCTGTTGGTATAGCACCTGATGCCGTTCTGCCGCTTGTGGTGGTTTCATGTTCCGGTATCGTAGACCCAGAACCTCTATTTCAGCACGCCGTTTTCATTGTCCATCAGCGACGGTTGAACGATCGAAGATGAGAAGGCAGCTTCCGAAAATGGCGAAGCCTAGTACAGGACGCCGAACTGCTGAGGTTTGCTTGGATCCAGCGGTGCCATTGATTGTACCTTCTGATCCGTAGTACATTACTGTTTTCTCTGAAGTTTCCATCTTTACATACTCATACTTTGACACCTCTATTTCGTTTCTGCTTTCGAATCCTCAGCGTCCGCACAAGATTGACGATAATCATGACCGCCATGATGGCCGTGATAACAAGAATACACGCGAGCGGCGCCAGAATAGAGAAAACCGAAAAGACGAAAGATGCCATACTAAAGGAGTGGTTGTCTCCGAGGGACTGTGTGGAAAGCCCGACCTGCATCGCTGAGAGGACAATCGTCGTGTATGCGAACCAAGTGATGAGGCTGTTGATATTCTCGCGCATGAACGATCCATACGTAGTACAACCGCTAAGATACCCGCGTATCTCGCCCATGACCAAGCGGTATATCCAGTTCAGCCGCCCAAGACGTAGCTCGCCATATATGAAGCGTTGGTTGACACCTATGTGGCCTTCCATGATATCTACCGATGAAGCGAGAGCTGAGTTGAAAGGTGCTACCTGCGGGAGGGTGCAGATAATGTCGCTCACAAGCGCCGACCACCCAGCCCAGGTTATCTCTTTGGGAATGAGTCCGTGGAAGATAGCCAAGTTGTAGTCGACCTCTCGTTCAATGAGCGCAACGTACGACAACAGGAAGCCAAGTGCCGTCTTGTACACATGTTGACGGGGACAGATTTCCGTTTGCCAGAATACCGGGCAAAAAAGGAAACGGGGTAATGGCTTGATAAGAATGGAAGAGGATTTGGAAGAGGACCAGATAAGATGTAAATCCAGTTGCTCCGTCACCATAATCTCCCTTCCTTTGACGATCTGGTAATGGAGTGGCCGGGGTGCTGTTGGGAGTCCGACAAGCCATAGCCAGTTATGGATCTCGTTCAACCTGCTGACATCGAGTTCGATGTCAAGAAACGCGCCAATATCGGCGGTGACAGGTTCGATCATATAGTTTCTGCGGAACGTTGCTGGTAGTAAGGACACCTCTGGTTGTACGATGCCATCAGGATTTGAGGTTTTCAGGGGCGCCGTGCGAAATGGCACAGGTAGCTGTTCACTCGCAGCTTGCGAATACATTTTTTCGAGCGACATTCAATCGAGGAGCGATCTGTGGTCTTGCTAGAAGAGAGCATAGTAGCACTGAAGAGAGCGACACGGCGCAATCATGTAGAAAACCATGGCGCGCTGCGGATTCCCACACTGCCACAACGGTGGAATTTCTCGCCTAGCCCTGTCTCGTAAAGCTGGGGTTGTTCCAAATTGCCGAGCTTTATTGATATTGTTATACCAAAAAGGTGCACGCCAGTGCTGACAAACTGAGTCACGTCTTTCTCCTTTGGGAAATTTCGCCCCCAAAATCTTTCCGCCCCCAACATCAGGGCGTATATGCCAAGGCCTGGGGCCAGTATGCAGGAGTCTCCAAAAATTGCAGTCGCGCATTTTTTCTACAACAGATAACGAAAACAAAGCGATCTTTGTTTTTCAGTACATACTGGAAATTCCTGGATCAAGTGTTCGCGATGGCTTCGGCCGCGAAGGCTCAGCATTCGAAGTTCGATGCCCAGGTTAGTAGTGCCAGTATTTCTCCATGCATTTGCTGAAGAAATAGTCTTTCAACCCTGGATTGAATGTTGTATATCCAAATGATGAACAATCGTCGGTCAAGTTGTCGGTCAAGGTCGAGTATGTCACCATGCATGCTATTTTGAACCTGAATAACAAATGCTGGCAGAATCATTGCCATCCCCGGTCTTGGAGCGGACCCTGAATACACATGGAAGAAAGACAAGGTGCATTGGCTGCGAGATGCCAATATGCTGCCAAAAAAGATCCCACATGCTAAGATTAGCGTCTTCCAGTACCAATCACAATGGTTTGGAAAGGGATCTGTCGACGAAAGGATAGACAATGTGGCAAACAAGCTGCTTCACAGTCTAGATCGCTCAAGAGTAGTGGGTGTTGAATGCCACCCTATCTGGTTCCCTGCTGATATCCACCAAGAACGAAGCAAAGACGCCTATCATCTTCATTGCTCATTGCCTGGGTGGCATCATCTTAGAAAAAGCTCTACTCATGGCACGATCGCGTCAACGAGACTTTCCAAATGTCTACCCCTGGGTTGCCGGCTGCTTCTTCCTAGGCACTCCATTTCATGGTACATCCAGTCAGTCAAAAGCACTGGTTTTAGCATCCATGGCTGAGCTTGCTGGCTGGGGTACTCCATCATCCCTTCTCAAAGTCCTTGAGAAAGACTCAGAGATCCTGCGAAGTATGCTTACAGAGTTTTCTTTTATGGCGAGAGACGCTCAGATTCGGCTACTCTGCTTCTGGGAAGAGAACGACAGTGATCTCGTCAACTATATGGTAAAAGGTATCTCGTGGCTCAAAAAGAAGGAGCGCATTGTTGATCAAGATTCTGCAACCATCGAGTCATTTGAGAGCCTCTCTCTCATGTCGGATCATTTCCAACTGAACAAGTATCCCGGACCGAAGGACGGAAACTTCACTGCTGTATCTGATGAGATCAGAGAAATAGCAAACAAAGCAGACAGTATCATCAAAACGCGCCAAAACATGCTGCGGCAATCGCAGGTAGATGATCGCACGTATCATAGTATGATAGACGCTTTGGGAAAAGGATTTGTGGATATTGAAGCAGCCATGAAGGGCTCTTACCGGGAAGCGAAAAGCACCAAACTCTCATCTATCTTGGAACTTGCCAATTTCCAGCAATGGAGAACCTCGGATACCAATCATGTCTTCTGGATTCATGGAAAGGCCGGAACAGGCCAAGGTGCTATCGCATCTTCGGCTCTAGAGTACCTGAACCAAGGTGCTGACCACAACTCATTAGTTGCATCTTTTTACTGTGACCAAAGTGACAGGATGAGGCGCACTCTGAAGGGTTTGTTACAAATAATTGTTCGTCAGTTACTGGATATCGACCAAGACCTTGCACGCCACCTTCTCCTAGACTCTCGGGGCAGCAGAGATGTCGGGAGCCAAATCTTTGACCCGGAAGAAATGTTGAAGATACCTGCACTGTGGACAGCCCTGCAAAAGATGGCTGAGGATATCCGGAACTCAAGGATATATATCATTGTGTATGGCGTAGAGCAACTGGCGGAAGATTCATTGGAACACTTCCTTGCATACATGGGAGGAGCAATTGAGCCCACAACCGCGAGCCATAACGACGAAGATTTTCGGCCTATCAAATGGCTCCTGCTTAACCGCAGTGGTCGCCCGAGCATTGAGAAATGTTTGAAGGGTAAGGTGCCAGAGATTGATCTTAACGATGCAGACAACTCCGCTCAAGTTAGCGACGACCTCAAAGCACACATATCTGTGCGTGTGGATGAACTTGCCCTTCCAGCTTCTTTGGCGTATTTTGTGAAACGCCACATCTACCTTCGCGCCGAGGACAACTGGATCTATGTTAGTCTCGTCGTACGAGAATTGAAGAACGCATGGAAACCAGGACGTACGCACTATGCCGAGATTAGAAAACTGCTAGAGTCATTCCCATATGGTCTCACCGACATGTTTGAACACATTCGAAAGCGGATTCTTAGCCCGCAAGCTGAAGGATACGAATATACAAAGGAGATACTTCGTTGTCGAGTCCTATCATACATAGCTCCAACGATGCGAGAGCTTGCTGTCATGGCTGGACTGCCTCATGACGACCTAGAAGATCTTGAAACGCTGAAAGAATACGTAGTACGATGTGGAGCATTCCTTACCTTGAGAGGCAACGACTGGGATCTGGACAACAGTACTGTTGAATGGATTGACATATCTGCTGCAGAACACCTTGCGGTATATGCCAAATATGATCTTTCGCTAGACCTCGACGATGTGCAGCACGGTATCATTGCTCTGCGCTCATTAGAGTACATCTACCAGGCCATCGAAGTACAGGATGTATCGGTCGACGATGCCGAACAGGAAGAGACTGAGGCCGCCATTGACGCAGAGAACACACCATATCGAGCAGATACTGACTCTGATGAGTCCGACTCTGATGACATGAGCGATGCATCCTCAGCTCAGAGCGATGACGAGACTGAAGACCTTCTTGATGTCGACCTCAGATACCCCGTTCGTTATTGGGTAGAACACGCGAAACGGGCGCCGCCTGATGTTCTTGAGGAATTCAACTTTAGCCATCCCTTTTGGCAGAAAGACTCCAAAGATCGTCAGAAATGGTGGAATACTATCCGGGAAGTACACGGTATGGAAGGTCAAGAAGATATTTCGTCTCTTCACGTAGCAGTGATTCTCGAATTTCCTGCTTTGGTCGACCACCTCATAAACCTCAACGGAACCCCCAACATACATGAGCAAGACTCTTTAGGCTTTCAACCTCTCTACTATGCTTGCGAAAATGGAAACGAAGAGATCATCAACATTCTGCTTGGCGCAGGTGCAGATGTTGATTTCGTAAGCTCTGATGGAAGCCCAACAGCATTGCATGCTGCCTGCAGGAATGGCCACTACGACATTGTCAAAATTTTACTCGACCGCAACGCTAGCGTAAACGCTCCCTCTCCTGAATATGGCACAGCGCTCTACGCAGCTGTTGGTAGCCTTGATAACCGCATTGTTGAGCTTTTGCTGGATCATAACGCCGAGGTAAACATTCCTGGTGGACCGCACCGACGAGCACTGAACCTCGCTGCCTTTTCTGGAAATCTGGATGCCGTGCGTATTCTGATTGAACGGGGTGCAGATATTGACCCCAATGAGGAGTATTGGTACGTAGTGTTCATATCTGAGTTAGCACTGGAGCACATACTGACTAGAATCTCCAATGGATAGGTATGGCTCTGCACTTGGTGCTGCTGTGCGACGCGGACATGCTGGTGTTGTCCGTTATCTTCTTTCAAAATCGTGGAACCCCCAACTTCAAATCAAAACCTACCGAAGTTTACTGAGCGCTGCAGCCACCTACAATCACTTGGAGGTCTTTGAGTTATTGTTGAAAGATGAACACCGAGTTTTGATTCTAGAACAAGCCCTACAGGCAGCTGCTCAGAAGGGCTACGCTCCAATCGTGGCCGCGATATTGAACCGGGATTCGGAGCTTTCATCTTGCTCGCTGAGACATCAGAGGTCATTCTCACTAGCGGCTTTCTACGGTAGAACGGAAGTCTTGAGACTGCTATATCCCCGAGGAATCGATCAAGCACAACTCGATGAGGCTTTATACGAAGCTACCGACAATAAACATCTGGAGACCGTTAAGCTTCTTTTGGAGTTCGGTGCGGACCCAAACGTCGAGGGTCCTATGTAAGTGTGCCAAGCACATATTGTAACCAAATGCTGACCGATTTCAAGCTACGGGTTCGCATTAGCAGCTAGCGCGTAAGTATGAGCTATCTTTGAGACTTTGGAGGACGATGGATGATTTCTTCAAATACCCCTCCAGCGAGCTTTCCTGCCAGAGCTTGCATAACAAACCTTCACTTTCACCGGGCTACCTCTTTTTTCCACTACCTCAACAGAATGCTCGAGATTAGGACTGGCCATTGAAATCATGCTGACTGTAATCCAGATACGATGGCACGATGGAGATCATGAAAGCCCTGCTAGACAAAGGAGCTGATGTCAATAAACTTGGAGGGGACTATGGTACAGCTCTTCAGGTATATCCCACAATTGACGTAGCAGTCTTTCGATGCTGACTCTCTAGGCGGCTGCATGGTTCGGCGATGCCGACAACGTGAAGTTATTACTGGATCGTGGAGCCAAAACCAACACTGCACCCATTGGTTACTACGGCCATGAACTACAAGGTAAACACTCTTCTATTGGACTAGTGCTTCTTGCTAACTTGTGATACCCAGCTGCCGTGCATACGGGTAATGAAGCCACCATTCGCCTTCTTATTGAACATGGAGCGGATGTCAATGCCTTTGCGGGCCACTTTTCATACGCCATAATTGCAGCAGTTGAACAAGGTGACAGTACTGCGACCAGGATTCTGCTCGAACACGGCGCTCATGTGAACGTGCGTGGCGGCGAAGACAACTGGCCCGTGATCTCGCTCGCTGCCTCAACTCTACTCACCGAAGATCTGGAGCTTATCATCAAGAACGTCTCAGATATAGATGCAGCCTGTGCTAGGGGAACGACTGCCCTGATCAACTGCGCGGATGCATGCGATATCGAAGGCCTGAGATTTCTGTTGGCGCATGGTGCTAATGTACATATCTCAAGCGAGAAATATGGCACTGCACTTCACGCAGCCGCGTAAGTACCTCGTCTTATAGCTCGAGCACCGCTGACAAGAATATAGCGCCGAGGGCGATGAAGATTGCTGCGAAGTCTTGCTCGAAGCAGGCGCCAATGTCAACGCTATCGGAGGCCCATATGGAACAGCCCTGCAGGCCGCTGCCTGGGCTGGAGACATTGAGACTATACATGTCCTTGTTAAAGCAGGTGCCGACATCACAATCACTGAACCCATTTCGGGCACATATGGAACGGCTCTCCAAGCCGCGTGTGCTGCTGGCTGGTTGAACGTTGTGCAAGAACTCTTGAAGCACAATGCTGCAGTTAATGTCCGACCAGCTAATGGCATGTTTGGAGGAGCATTGTCTGCAGCTGCAGCTGGTGGACATAGAAAAATTGTGAAGCTTCTCATCAAACATCATGCTGATGTTAATGCCAGTGGAGGCCTTCACGGCTTCCCGATCCTTGCTGCTGCCCAGTCTGGTGTTTTATCCGTTGTTGAGTATTTGCTCAACAACGGTGCAAATGCTACAGCTTCAGGAGGCCTACTTGGATCAACTGTGGCGGCTGCTGTCAAAGGTAACAACATTGACGTTGTCAGAAAGTTAATAGAACACGGAGCGGATGTCCATGCAAAGGGAGGAAAATACGGTGACGCTCTCCAGACCGCTGCGATGAAAGCCGAACTGCCTATGATTGACGAAATTCTCGATAGGGCAATCGAGCTTGTTAATCATAAAGATGGCAAGTATCGTACAGCTCTGATAGCAGCTTCTTACTTCAACCGCATGGATGTCGTCAACAAGTTGCTGGACGCTGGAGCAGATTTCCGTGTTCAAGGAGGGGTTTATCGGAATGCCATCGCTGCTGCTTCCATCCGTGGAAACAAAGCTATCCTGGACCGATACCTGACTATGAAACCTCCGGATCATCTGCTCGATGAAGCACTCGTCGAGGCTTGCGCCTATCGCCAAGCTGCTTGCGTGGATGCATTGCTCAAAGCAGGTGCTAATGTATACGCTCGCCATCAAACTCGGGGCTCCGCATCTGACGCTATCGATGCGCCCGAGGAAAAAGATTACAATTCTGATCTCGAGGAAGACAACTTGGATTCAGATGCTGCATCGGAAAATAAGGAAGACGAAAACGAAAACGAAAACGAAAACGAAGACAAAGAGGAAGAGAAATGGGTAGGTGACAACGTCTCGGTATCCGGTCAGACGGATGATGGCAGCGTAACAGACTTGCAACTGGAAGAAAATGTTTCTGAAGAGGCGAAAATACGGAAGCTGTTGAAGGAGGCTCAAGACCGCTGTAAGCGCAATCCGACCGTCAAGCGTTTCAGAACAGTGAAATATGGCCATATTCCACCCAGTCTGAGTGTAGGGTCACATTCCCATTCGTCAGCACCACCACTGCCATCAAATGCGAGGTATGGTACATATGAAGCTGCAGATTCTGCAGACCACTACGGAGTTCCATACGGCCAGCACTCGCAAAGTTCATCGAGCCTACCTTATCATATACGATCAAGAACTACAGAAACCATAACTGAGGCTGAACACGAAACACCATATCCTTCAATAGGCACAAGGGGAGGTACATTTCCGCTTGAAAATTCCGCTTATCAGGATTTCGACGTACAACCGCCAGGTCCTTTGCGTACAAAATCCCCGGAAGCTATTGTCTCACGACGAGAATCTGCCCCGTTGCCTAATTCACAACGACCAAACCCACTGACAGGCACTTCTGCTGCACCTCAACCTAATGTACAACCCTCAAAGAAAGGCAGTGCTGATCATGGGCTTAAGAGGCAGAGCAAAGTTGTCAACCGGAAATCTGTTGCAAACCTGGAAGCACTCACTAGGTATCAGCAGCAGCATCAACAGTCAAGCTACTCGATGGATAGGCCACCCTTGCATTCTTCAATCTCTGAACAAGATCATGAAGTAGACATCCAGCCTTCTCGTCCACCACCACACCATATGTCTGGCTCCTATGATTCACAAATCACTCCCATCGCCATAAGAAACGAGTCATATCCTCCACGAATTCCGCATCGGAAATCCCAACAATTCGCTCAATCCCAGCCATATGGATACCCAGGGCTCTCACAACCGACGCAGGGACCATATTGCCCTTATCCACAAGGCTCTTCGGCACAGCAGCCCTATGTACCCTATCCCCAACATGCTGAGATTTCTTCTCCATCATCGACCCAAGGTAGCCAGTACACAGGAAATAGTAGCCAGTACCAACCCTGGGACACCCCTCCTTCCAGCGTAAGCGGCTTCACCAGTACGCAAAATACGAAAGAAACGAGAGAAAATCGATGGGCGAGCGGAGGATACGATGGCGAAGGATACGATGACGAAGGATACAGCTGAGTGATCAACAAGAACATTTCAGTCCACACAAATAGCTTTTTTCCTAGTTAATTTTGTACATCAATGCAACGATACCCCCTCTCCAACCCTTCCTTGGACTATTCACGAAGCATCCCAAACCTACTAGCCACAAGAAGCACCTAAGCAAGTTTCCCCTCCCTAATAAGCCGACTCAACGTCTCATTTCCCACCGTCCACTCCTTAAACTCCCACGTATACTTCTCCACTAGCAAATCACTCACCATCCGCCCAAACACCACCTCTCCCCACGGATTCAAATGCGTGCGGTCCCTCGCCGTGCTACCGTTTCCCACCCAGTTATACGTGTCAGCACCTGCTTGCCCAATCGCGTTGACGTACGCCGTCGATGCCTTGTTGAGATCGATGAAATGCAGGTTGCTCGACGTAGCGACGTCGATTGTGAGTGCGCTTTCTCTAGCGAGGTTTTCGATGACGCGGTCGGTGGTTGTGTTGAAGGTGCGGCGTGTGAGTGGTGTGACGAGGATGGGTATTGCGCCTGAGTTCTTAACTTCCGAAGCGAAGGTTGCGAGGTTGGTGCGGTATTGGGCTGGGGAGACGCCTGAGGTTTCTTTTTGGTCGTTGTGGCCGAACTTTGTTACTGTTAGCTTCGATATTTCTTTGGAGTTTTTGAAAGAGGCGAGGATGGTTACCTGGATTGTGACGTAGACTTTGTAGTTTTGCTTGTGGGTTGATATGTCGTTGATTACTCGGCCCCAGTCGCCGCCTGCGCGGAAGGATGCTGTTGTCGCACCGCTATGTCCGTAGTTTTTGCCGGAAGATCCTGGAGCGACGGTCTTGGAAAGGAATGCATCGCCCCATCCTCCGCTGGTGGCTGTTGTTGAGTCGCCGGCTAGGAGCCAATATATGGGTTTGATGGCGGCATCGCGTACTAAGCTGCTTGGTGCTGCGAGAGAAAGAGGTAGTAAGGATATTAGGATAAAACGCATGACTGGGGCTGCAATATATTTCCTCTTGTTTGGAAATCCGACGATTGATAAAAGATGTCGATTATTTAAAGTAGTAAGAAAGGCCCTGCTTGCAACAGTACGCCTTTACATCTGTAGTCGTCTCATATTTATACCGCTGACGGCGGAAATAGTAGTACGCATTTTCCATCATGTATTTAATTTAAGGGATTCATACTAGATCATCACTATGCTCTCAGTAGTATAAGAAACGGTTCTATTGTCGGCAGTTCTTCCTAAAGTTGTCGTAGAGATACTAAATAATTCGTGCAATTACTTTGGCGGGGAAACATTGCGGGGGTGCATTGCCGATCACCAGGAACCTCGCGGTAATTTGATCCGAGAGATCCGTCTTTGAGGATAGATCCTCATAGTGCAATGTAGGTACACTATTTGCTCAGGATACGGACTAGAGAGTTTCTAATCAGAAGACTAGATGGCTGCCGCGTGAATGTGATTGATCAGATATTTGGCAGCTCACGAGCAAAGACGCCTTAGGAGCTGCAGGACGGTGTTGCCGTATACATCCACACAAAAGACACGGTAGGTAATCAAATCCCTCTCATTCTCAAGATAGTGGCAATAAGCCTTGTCTCCTAATGATATATCTAAGTAGGGATAGAACTAAACGACACGGAAGCTAGTTGAGACGCGATATCCGATCCGCCTCTGGCTCGCCAGGCAGCAACACAACTCAAAATCATTTAGCAAGCTCTCGAATATACCGCATATTTCCAGTCGACACTTTCCTAGAAATCCTTATTTGGCGATATGTCGCTTACCGCCGTAGCATCGGCCATTCTTCCACCGGCCCACTTACTCACTTACTCCGCTTTGATTGGGACGGAACTGTATCAGACCTTCATAGTAACGAAGATTACCTACAGAGCGCTACCTAGGCCGGCATTTGTGGGTTTGCAAAAGAAACTCTTCCCAGCCTACTTCAATGCCCAATACCTGCTTTTGCTCGCCGTCGCGCTGACACGTCCACCTTATGGACCATTCTCATCGTTCGGAGAAATGGCCAGCTTCATTCCTTTTGCAATAGCCGGAGTGACTGCAGGATTAAACTTGACCCTGTATGGGCCTCGGTCTAGGGCTTTGATGATTGAGAAGGCAACTCAAGGTACGTGGAGCTCCTGTGTGATTCGTTGCTCGAGACCGTAACAGGATCTTTGAGGCGAAATTCCAGTGGGCTGTTTGTACGACATGCAACTAATGCAAGGAACAGCAACACGCGATTCAAAGAGTGAGGAAATGCTAGTGTTGAATAGGGCGTTTTCTCGTGCGCATGCGATGAGCATTCATCTAAATCTGATAACAATTGGCGCAACGCTTTGGTATGGTTGGCAGCTGGCTTCAAAGCTGCAATTTTAGGGCTATTATGATCTTTGAAAATAGACGAGTGGATGAATTAGCGGGCTTGTCAATTCAGAGGTAGAAGGAGTGCAAATATCAGGGACTCAGAAGCGGTTAATGGGTCATCGTCGAAGGCCTCCTACTATGTATCATAGGAGATCCCATTGCTTGGCTTGTCTCGCAGATCAAAACAACAGAAGAACCAGTAAACGCTGACTTGTTTACGATGTCTTTAGTGATGCTTGCATTGTTCCAATGGAGATGGAATTGTGTAACTGGTAAGGCGACCACGGGTCCCCGCGTCTCCGCCCCCAGCCTAAAGCAGTTAGACTGGTCGAGGAACGGGTAGGAATGTTTTCTCCGTTCCGTGTCGTGTTGAACACTCTCCCCGACCCCCTACTTTTGCTGCAACTTCCACACGAATAATTTTGAATGCGGGAAAACGAGGGGAATTCCGCTGCAAAGGCGGAGCAGCCAAGGACTCTACAAGCGTGTCAACGCTGTCGGAATCTGAAAACCAAATGTTTGCCGAGTAGGCAATCCGGTCGATGCCAGAGGTACTACTTGCTCCACCATAGCTATGGATGCGAAAGTTCCTCAAAGATGGTTTAATTATGTCAGAAATGTGCTAAAATAACATAGGTGTTCCACTTCCGGAAACGAGTGCGTCTGGGCTGACGCGCCCCGACGAGCAAGAAAGCTACGTGCCCCTTCGTAAGTCGGCGTCTGCCATTAGCATCTCCTGGGTCTTACTCCATTTAGACGCATTGCTCAAGTTGAACAAAAGATTGATGGGCTTGTAGCCAAACTCGTCTGTGCATCTGGAAATGAAATCACGGCTAGCTCAGGGTTCATTCCACCTGCCGTTCCACCAAAGACGACAAGACCAGTTGTCACAGGAGGTTGGATGTCTGTTGAATCCCAATCAGAAGCACTCTTAAGGAGAACTTCGGACGATGCTGAAGTTGACCGCCAATACCTCGAAGAAATCCGTGGTATACATGGCTTCGATGATCGACAAACTGCTGGTCAACCTTCTGAAGGTCCATTCAGGCAGACAAAGCGACTCGAAGACCCCATAGATGATGAGCTTGTCCGGAGTCTGCTTGTTTCAGGCGAAGCAGAATCGTTGATGAAGGAATTTCGTTCCATGTCGATTACATTTCCATTTGTTGTTATATCTCAACAACTCTCCAGCACCGACCTGCATGCAGAGAGGCCAATGCTTTTCCTTGCAATAATGACAGCAGCATCGTGGAAGGATTACTCGCAACAGAGGAGGCTTGATACAATATACCGCACGGAACTCGCTCATCGCACAATGGTCCGTCCTCGGAAGACGCTTGGGCTAGTACAGAGCGTTCTTGTTTATCTATCCTGGTACTTGTCCTCTACGTGAATAGCTTGCGATATGCTGAACACAAAAGGTACCATTTTGTTTTCAGCCACAAGACGCAACAGATCTTCTTCCTACACCACCTTGTGATTGGACTGGCACTTGACATTGGTCTCCACCAAGATTACCAACCAATCGATTTTACCCCTCCACTACGGGGTAGGCCCTCACCGCCATCTAGAAAAGATTTACGAGAAAGGCAAAGAACATTCCTTGGTTGCTACTACATTTCGTCCATGTATGTTCTTCTCAATGAGTGTTTGGTACTTTGTTGACATTATGCAGGGTAGGCGGTGCTTTTCAAAAGCCGAATCTACTCAAGCATACACATTTCATGACCGAAGCGGCTGAAAGCTTGGGAAAAGAACTAGAGTATGAATCCGATGAAGTCATTAGCCACCTGATCTCCCTGCGACAGATTGAGGAGCAAATACAAGACATTCTGTTTACGGCAGATACGGCGCAACTGTCACTATCTGACGGACGCATGCTTATGCATTTGCGTTCTATAGAAGGCCAACTTGATGCATGGAAAGCACGATCCTGTTGCTCTGCATCTCAAAGATGTAAGTATCTTTCTACGTCAAAGGAATTACCTGGGCTTCGCTTATATTACACAGTGCTCGAGCTTTCCTTCTCTTTCAGTAAGACACTGTTGCACAGCATCTCCCTTCGCCCACATGCACTGAACGTTCCCCCGCCACCACAATCGGCACAGCTCAACTCTTTGTTCTCTGCACTGGAAGCTGGGAAGAAATTCTTGGATACTCTTCTATCTTTTCCAGCTAACGAGTACCATTTCATATCGTTCTCTGAGTGGATGCGTTTGCCGTCGGTCATCATGACGGTAGCCAGGCTGTGTATGCCTAACGATGACCATGCTGCCTGCGGCTGGGATGCACAAGCAGCTCAAGAGCGAGTGCGTCTTGAGCTGTGTCTCGAATCTCTTTGCTTCCGAATGCAAAAACTATCAACATACGACGAGGTGAAGCAGCCCCACAGCGACTTCTGGCGAGCGATGTGTTTCATGATGGACTTGACGAAGACTTGGTATATCCGTAAGATCCGACCGAAAGCACCAATGCAGAAACCTATGCAATCTCCATTAAGGGCGACGACGGAGACAGGTACGGCCGAGGCCTCGTGTCCAATCTCTGCCATGTCAACTGTATGCCCTATGCATGGATCAGAGGCGCAGTACCCCGCACTGGCTGATGCGAACTTCACGTGCGAAGGCAGTGCGGAGATGGATGGCGCTGCCAATGGGAGCAGTGACCCGTTTGCGCTAATGAGAAGTGCAGATTTCGACATCGAGCAGTTCTTCGATATGGCCGGAGGCATCTGGGGTGACCAATGCTATGTCAGCTACTCAGACATGGCTTTTGGTAGTGGTGCGTCATTCTAGCATTTGGTAGGCAAGATCAGATGATTAGCCTAGCGCTACACACTGGGAAAAGAAATTACTTACTAGCCTCGGCGTTTGTTGCGCAATTCTTTTCGTAAATGGATCCAGGACAGGCCTATACCACGTGTTGTCAGCCCCGGCGACCACACCTCTAAATGTAACCCAAAGACACCAACTTGGTGCACCCATGACAGAGCATCACCACGGGGTGATGGTGAGATGGACCAAGTGAGAAGAGAAAATAGTCATACACCACTGGAGCTTTACGCTTGGGCCTACTCGCATACCAAGATGAAATATGATTGCTTCGGACGACTCGACCACATTCGTGCAAGTTCTCGGTGGCTTACAGCGTGACCGAAGCATACCACAATCGAAGATCCAGCTGGCGGCGATCAGTGCCAGCTTTTGTCCACAGAAGAACGCTACTGATGAAGCTTGGAAAGCATAGGTATGGGAAGTCTTCACGTTACACATCCCTATTTGCTAGCCTAAGAGCTTGGGATAGCTCAGGTAGTAGGGATACGAGTAGGGTAGTTATGGCTTCCCGGCAGTATATGTGGCGTGGGTGATCACTCTTACGCTAAAGCAGTTCACGAGATGTCAGGTTAGGCACTAAAAACGCAATGCTCTGGCTCGCGCCCCAACCGCGAAAACGTCTCTGGGCGCTTCGTGCGCATGGCTTAAGCACTAAGTGCTAGCATGTGAGACCTTTTTACGAGGGTCACGTGCTTGGAGCCCTACATAGACAGTAGTTCCCGTACTGCTGCTTACCATTCTTCATCGCTCTATGCTGACAGCTACTAGTAGGTTCTATCCAATACCAGCTCGCAGCCTCGCCATGGCGCAATCCCACCACCCCGCAAGTCAGCATTGCCAGGCACGAGTGCATCTCCCGTGCTTCTTTGACATGGGCCTTCCCGATCGGGCCGCAAGATGGTGGTGATGGTTTCCGCGCTGTGGTTGGCTGCCACCATTTAACTGCCATTGCTGACTCTTGGCGAGCAGGCGCCGACCGCTAACCGGTTTACCCACCCCGGCAGGGCCATCGCATTGTGACATCAGCTGGACCCTTGTATTCACGCCTTGAATTCCACGTTGTTGACGACGCGTTTTGCTGTCATCCATGTATAAATCTCCTTGTTATCTCCATGCATTACGCGTCTAAGCATTGACTTTACCTCGAAGCATCCTTCGCATTGTCGGCTTCTTCTTTCTCTCTTCACCTTTTAAACAACAGCGCCCTCGATATACTTATCCTTGTTTTTTTTTTGCTTCTACACCTGTTATCCTAGGAATTGACAACCGTCCAACATGAAGGCGTTCAAGAGTTTCTTGAACAAACGTCGCCAGAGCTTCCAGAACCGCAAATCGAAACCGGCAGAACAACCTTCCGCCCCTGCCAAAGCCGACAGTCTCATCGAGACGTCAGCACCAGCGCCAGCGCCGGCGTCCCAGGCCAATGGTGACCAACAACAAGTGTTAGCTGAAGCTGCCCCCGGAACCCTTCAGCTCGCACTCCAGAACAAGTCTAGCTCCAGCACAGTATATGCATACATCACTGGCCTCGCCCTCGAGCGGGGAAACACGCCGATTTTTATCCAGTCAGACGGCCAGACTGTGTACTATCCCGTAGGGCCCAGTGAGATCCTGCAACCACTCCAGGCTGACGTCGCCATTCCGCTCGGTAACCCCGGGAATACTGTTAATGTCAGAATACCAAAGATTGCTGGTGGTCGCATCTGGTTCAGCATCGGTGCGAAGCTCACCTTCCGGCTCAACCCCGGCCCTGCTGTCGTCGAGCCCAGCGTAACCAACCCTAGTGATCCAAACTTCAACATCGACTGGACCTTCTGCGAATTTACCTACAACGATGCACAGCTTTTTGCTAACATCAGTTATGTCGACTTTGTCAGCATCCCAGTTGCGATGAGCCTTACCAACACCCAAGGTCAGACGCAGAGCGTACCAGGCATGGGCCCTGATGGACCGAAAGTGTTGCAGGACAGACTACGCGCCCAAGCAAAAAGTGATGGGCGCCCTTGGGACAAGTTGATTTACGAGAATAATGGCCGTGCATTGCGAGTTCTGAGTCCGAACAACCTACTTGTCGGCAATGCGGATGCGTGGGGTAATTACTGGGATGGCTACGTCCAAGCAGTGTGGAACAAGTTCCGCAATGAAGATATGATCATCAACACACAAGCTGCTGCTGGTAACCTGCGAGGTCGCGTCCAGGGCAACGAGCTTCAGCTTGGCGAGGCGGGTTCTTTCACTGCGCCGACAGCAAGAGACATTTTTACTTGCAGCACTGGACCTTTCCAAACCGGTTCCAACCAGGCTCGCAATGCAGTCATTCCTCGTCTTGCAGCTGCCTTCAACAGAAGTATTCTACTCAACACACCTGGCAATCAATTTCCTAATGGCAGCAACCCAAGCCAATACTACAAAGACCCGACGACGAACCACTACTCACGCATTTTGCACGAGATTCAGAAGGATGGACGCGGTTACGCTTTCCCCTACGATGATGTAGTCCCAGACGGTGGTCAGGATGTTGCAGGAACCATCTTTGATGGAAGCCCGCAGCTGTTTACAATTGCTGTAGGCGGTAATCAGTAGTGTGATTGCTGCATTGCTAGGTGTTGTTCATGTTTGTCATGGTACAAAGAATGGGAGTCTGTTGTTTGAGACAGCGGTTTTAGCAAGCATCCTTCATCACTATATACCTCTTCACTGTATTTTTTCTTCGTCCTAGAATTCCACCATCTTTACATCGAGGCGTCATTGCCTAGCTTATAGAATATCAAAGCCTGTTTGTATATACCAAACTGTATTCTGCTCACTCATGTCAGTACATACTTTTGTCGGGAAATTATCCATGCACTTTTCATGGGGCCCTCACCTGTACATTGGAATATGACGGCTGACACTCACTAAGGCGCACTAATTGTGTATTTTCACTGTCAATAAAAGTTCCACATGGGCGGAATTCACGACGAATTACCGAAAGAGGGTTGTGAAAGCACAGAATGTGATTCTAAGTGGGCATGGCTTCGACACTGTGTTGCTAATAGTAGGCAGTGTCGCCTGTTCTAACCGGGCAACCATGAATTCACTATGTCAACACACCGTTCACTGTACAGTGGCGGATATACAACACTCACTAAGTTCTCATGGAACTTACGACTATATATTTCGAATGCTCGTTTCTCCTATATACTATATTCAGGTCATTCAACTACAACTACATTAACCAAAATCACCATTACGACTCTAACAAAATCCACACTTCAAAGACTATTCATAAATCAAACAGAATCTACCACCATGTGCCAAGGTTGCATTAACCTCAACGCCGCGGAGCCTTCGGAGCTCCCCGAGCTATACCAACAGGCTGTAGCGAAACTAATCGAGCACGGCAAGAAACTGCTCAAACACTGCACCGAGATGGAGGACTACTACCGCTCGATGGGCTATTGCTATCACACTTCGCAGCTCACTAGGCGCGAAGCAATGGCCGACTGTCCCACCCACGGCCCTCAACTGCTCAATCTCGAAGAAGCCTTCGACCTCGACGACCCAGAGGATTACCACATCCTCTTCAAACCAATGGAGACCAGCATAACCCTCCTGAAGGAAGTGATCTCAGACGCCGAACATATCCCATCCAACCCCCCAACCCCCCAACTCGCCGAACTCCTCACCAACTCGCTCCAACCCAAACTCCACACCGCCCACATCACAATAAACAACATGCGCACATACTTTAACCGCATAAACTTCTACACCACCACCCTCCGCTCACTTACCTGCCAGTCCAGCGGCACACACTCACTCAACACCAACAACGAAACCCCCTGGCACCACTGCAAGCTCAACATGCGCACCGGCCAGTGGGAACTCGAGTCCATGGCGGAAGAATGGACTGATTACCTAAATTGGGTCACTTGTTTGCCGGAGACGCAGGTGTGGGTGCGGAAGGGGGAGGACGCGAAGGAGATTGCGCTGAGGTGGTTGGGAAGGTTTGTTGTTGTGGATTTGGTGTTGGCGGATATTAATTGAGGGGTTGTGGGGATTGGAGGGAAGGTTTTTCTGTGTTGGTTGTTTTGGTAGATGGGTTTGGGTAGAATGTTTGGAAAGGTGTTAGGGCGTGCTTTGGGATGTTGTTTCTGAGATACGGATAGATTTCATTTACGGGAGGATAGCAAGAAGAATACATTATTTGAAGGAATTTTTGAGGAAAGACTTGATATTATTGTGATCAATATGGATTTGGTGGTGACTGCTGCTCGACTGGATTATTCTCCTTGAGGGACTGGACTGGATGTGTGTCGGATTTGCATCTTGGCTTTTACGTAACTGTTGAAACTTGGATGACTTTTAAGCAAGAAATGATTGGGAATGGATAAGTGAATAATGCTATGTCTTACTTGGCTATTATTGTCCCTTTCGAAGATGATGTAAAAAAGACACTTGTTGTTATTAGGAAAAAAGGTAATGGATTTCTTTCGATCTCCTTAGTTGTCTTTCTACCGCTACATCGGTTAAGTACTACCAACACGTTATTTGTAGCCGGGTAGTGATTCGAGCATCGGAAGCTCGCATGCACAATGACGCATTCTCTCGGCTGAAGAAATGCCAAGCCCACCATTAACAGCCGCAAGCCGAAGCTACTGGACATCCGACGCGTCGGACGGCTACCACAATAATAACGGAAGTTCCGTCAACCACATTGCCTCCCGTTACCAACTACCCACAAGCGCATTCCTGCTGTCATAGATTCACAATGTCCACACGACCAGATCAGCTGGTAACGCCATCCGAAAAGCGGCGTCGTATTGACCGCGTCGCTGCAGCATGCGATTTGTGTAGAAGGAGAAAAGTCAAGTGCGACGGTGAATTACCATGTGCATACTGTGTACGCAAAGAGCGTGCAGCTACATGTACATTCAGCGGTTCAAATCCACGAAATCAAGCTCACTCGGTGGTGGAATCTCCAACTATACGCGCTCATACTGACAGCTCGTCTTTTCGTCGCATCCTATCCGCTGGCCATACGCCGGAAAACCGAGAACACAATGTTCGTGAAAACAACTCTCAAGGATCACGATACCAGCATGAAGCCGCAGAAATTACAACATCACTCTCACCTACACTGAGTAGAGACGACCAACAGGGCGATACCGCGGTCCCTCTGGAAGGCCGTATACTTCGTGACGCACAAGGCAAACTAATCTTCATCGGCGATTGCGCCCCACTGTCCTTTCTGCAAACGGTCAAACATCTCATCACATCCGAAGTCGATTCGGGAGTTTCGGTGCAGGCCGCGAGGGATCCCATTATCGAAATCACGCGTCCCCCATTGGCCGACCAACAACAATGTCCACCCATTGAGTTGCAACATGTAGATGCCCTAGTCCAAGAGTACATTGCAGCCAGCAGTGGTCTCGTACAGTTATTTCAATGCGAGGATCTATTACCAGAACTGAAAAACTGGGCGAGCAACCAGGCGTCTAGCCCAGATGATGTCGCTGCCGCTGTCTTCTATCTTGTGCTCGCTATCGGTGCTCAAGACAAGTATGAAGACAAGGCAGAGGCCTGGTTCAAACACGCGCTCAACATACTTCTAAAGTTCATGTGCAGTAATATGAACGTTTCTACCGTTCAGGGCTTCACACTAGTAGCTATTTTCATGCTTCGCGCGTCGCAGCCAAATGGTGCATATTTGTACTTTTGTAAGTAGTCGTATGTACAAGTGTTCGTAGGTGTCACCTGCTTACGATGGCTAGCCTTGGCTGCACGTACTGCATACGCAATTGGCCTCCACAGAACCGAAGTCAACGCTTCTTTCGGCGAGAATATCAGATCGGTACGCGATCGCATCTGGAAGAGCTTGCGCGTCATTGACCAACTCATCAGGTGAGTCATTATGATTTCCCTCATTTATTTAGGCTTCCATAGTAAACATACACTGACATATGATGTTCGCCATCCAGCAATGTCCTAGGTCGACCACCCTCCACATCTGATGTGGACTGCACTGTCAAATACGCCAATCCTGAAAACATACGGTCTGATACCAGTGCCAACATACTGGATGCGAGTGTGCAAATCTTCATGATTGTCGAACGTGTCGTTGTCGAAGTGTACTCTCGCAAGCGGATATCTCTACGGATCGCCGACTACGTCTCGAGGCAACTGAAAAACTGGGCGTCCAAATGGCTCGGAAATCTCTCAGATATTACAGCTCGACAACCATCTCGTGAGGCAGTAGTTGGCGCCTGCTCCACTTTATGCTCCTACTACTATGGCATAATGCTATTGACACGGCCATTCCTTATTTACGAACTTTACGAGTACATGGGCGCCTCACTCAAGAATGGAGGCACTCCTGCTGATCATCAAGAGAAGCGCAAATATGCGGATGCTGCAATTGACGCGGCTTCAGTATTGGTTGATACATTAGAGGTTTTAATAAAAGCAGATCAATTGCTACGCAGGATGCCCTTGGTAGTGTAAGTTACAACGCATATTAACACTGATATTTGCTAATCAATCCTAGATCTTGGCTCTTCACTGCCACACTGGTTCTAGCTGTCGGTATTCTCGGGAACTCCGGCCTTCTTTTAGAGGAAAGCTGTAAAGATGCAATTGCCTGCATGGACTATTTTGGTGCGGTTGATCATCATGCTCGTCAATACTCGCATGCTGCTCAGTCCCTGCTCAAAATCACAACTGCACACGCGAAGAAAAGGGAACTACACTTGCGTCGAAAGCGGAAGCAAGCTTCCTCTGAATTGTTTGGTCTGTTACCATCGGAGCAAACCCCTCGAGCCCATCCAATCGAAGGCCCTCAGCCACGACCGGAGCCCGGCTTGCCATCCTCCACACAAGCTACTCTGCAAAACCCTCCTGCACAAGCTCCGCTTGACTGGACCATCTATGACGCCGACTTCTTTGCTCTACCGTGGCCTAGTGAGAATGACCAAGGTCTACAGGATTTCCTCCAACCGGGCACCTATAATCTGGACGGTGCGTCTGTGGCGGATATACCGCTCTTCCCTATCCATAATCAACAGATGGGCAACACCTTCTTCCCGTAGTTCAATCGACCGTGTGTTTGTATCCAAAATATTCGCAAAACTTCCTACATCTGGACTTCAATGTACGACTTTTGTTTCGCTGGTTTCGTCTCTTGATGTCCGTAGAAATGGAATCAACTTGGTGCCTCCGGTACCAACTAGCTCTTGTGTCTTTGGCTTTTCTGCAACCATCTCTGTAGAGGCAGAAGCGATATCTCTCCTCTTTACATGGCTTGCCGGCTTCGCCGAATGACTTGGTATGATGATGTACCTCGTTACAAGAGCAATGTGTTTGTCGCGGAAACCACTGAGTGCTGCAACAGCTGCATTGAACGTTGAAAGAAGCACATCGTTCTCTTGATGTTCGTTTACATAGCTGCGAATGTTGGCAATGGCTTCAACATCATCCAGGAACCGGGCGTGGGGGCCGGGCATGTATCCGCGCATCTCAGCGTGGAAACCGCCACTTCTGGAATGGTCTACCGAGAGCACGGCATCGAAGAACTGGAGCAGGGAAGACTGGCCATTGGAGCCACCTCGGTAAGCTCGCCATGTGCCCTTACCATTGCCTTCATCATAGAAGACACCATTTGGCAGACCAGCAGCCGCCATGTTCATGCTTCCGGCCAGAAATGGTCTGATGGTATGGTAGAACACATGAGGGTCGCATCGTTCGTCCATACGTTCTAGAAGTTGTCCAATACTATCCACACCTCTCTTGAAGTACTGCAGAGCATGCACTACTGTCGCAACATCATCCTTTTCGACGGCTTCGATCGCACCGAGCATGGTCTCGATCAGTGGACCGGCCCTTGCCTCCATGGCATTTGAGATGATGAAGAACCACGATTCATCATCGCTGCCAGTAGCTGTATACAGAGCAACCATATTCTCCGGCTGAGTCAAGTCGGCGTCGTTGGTTAATGGTCTCCAATTCCATAGGTTCAGTGCTGCATATGTGGCGACGGGATGTACCTCAAGGTGCTCGGCAGTCCGAAGGAAAGGGATAGTAATTGCAGGAGGTAACCGCTGAGTATCTGGTTAGTACTCATCTTCGTCTCAGTCAAGCAGGATGCTCTCTTTACCTCTGATGGTTCAGGTCCTGTCCAAATGTACCCTTGAGCCATGACAGCTAGCATTGAGTGGGCTCTTTGCCATTCTGCCTCATTGTCTAGTTGAGATACATCAAGGATCGGCAACTCATCAACAGACTGCCGTATCTGCTGAGTCTCGATAAGCAGAGGGAGTTTCTCTATGATCTGTTCCCATGGGCGGTAGTAGTCTTGTGGTAGTCGGGATAGTGGTGGCTCAGCAGGAAGAAAGCCGTTTTGAGATATACCGTACTCCGGTAGTGCAGAAGTGCATGGTAGACTGAAAATTTTGTGAGGACTCATTGTGAAAAAAACAAAGCAGAAGCACACCAAAGTAACGTTTCATGGATTCTAGAAGGCTTTGAATATGCAGGGCGGCGAAGACCGCATTTATCATGAAACCACATTGGCCCACTTTGTTAGGCCAACCAAGTATCCAAACCTCGAAAGATTCCAAGGCGTCGGATCGGAAGGCGGACGGAAGCGCGTCGGATGCGCGTCGGAAGACTAAAAGAAGAAGGTGCTGGCCTAATGCATATCTGCCAGACCAAGTGCCGGAGTCTAGAAGACGTAATCGAAGTAGCCAGCATATATTAAGTGTCCTTTTTCTCACTACGACCTCACACACAGGTCTTTCAGTCGTCATCCGAACGTTGTATTACACTGCCATTTCGGTCGATCACCATGGACACCACGAGCGCTATCGAACAACTCCGCCAAGGCCAAAAGCCGCAATGGCCCACAAATGCCGAGTCATTCGACTTTGCCCAGACCCTTGATGAGAGTACCGAAATACCGCATACATTCCGCCCCGAATTTATTGTCCCTAGCAAGGCGCAGCTCAAGCGAAAGACTCTCAAAGACGATGCACAAACCGCAAACCCAGCAG